CTGTAGAAAGTTAAGTTAAAGAGCCTATATCTAATATATTCTGAATATGATTTTGATTTAATGTAAAATGTAAAGAAGTACTTCTAGCACCTAAGTAAATTAGTATAATATGTTCCATAAAAGTAATTTCCTCCAAAAGCAATTTTAATTTGCTAAGACAAAAAAAAGAACAAAACCTTTTCTTACTGCCACAACCACCATCTTAAAAAAAAATACTAAAAATGCAAATAACAGCCTATTTCCAGGTGTTACTTAAATAGTTATCTGTGTTAAGCATTCTTCTCTAAGAAAAAGCACTGGCAAACAAACAAAATCAAAGCCGAAACACAGAATTCTTGCATGAGTTTTAAATTTATTTTTGTTCTGGAAATTTTATGTTTACTTAAAACCTTGTGTGTAATAGAAACATAAACCATTGAGCCTTTGGATAAACAACATTTTCAGAGTTTACTCATAATATATTCTTCAAATTATCCCACACAAAACTGCTTAGAAAGAATGTGTTAAACTATATTGATGATTTAAAAACAAGCACAACAACATAAAGAAACTTTCTCTATCTCAGGAGAAATGATTACTGTGAAGTTATCATTTTAACATCTTTGGTGTCAATTCTGGGTGAACCAGGATGGTCGCTTTCTGTCTCGTTCAATGATCCTCTTGCCCTGATCTTGTTCACATGGCGTCTCTCCCGAGTACAGCACCACAGTCTCTATGGTTGGAGCCTTAAAAGGGCCCCCTTCTTGTTTCCCTATCTGTCGTCTGATTTCTGCAGTCTCCTTGCGCACCTTCTCATAGCAGTAGCCACAAAGGACATGTTTCAGTTTCAGGTGACCACATTCTGGACAAACGTCTATATTGTTCTTTAAAACAACAAACAAAAACATAGTTTAACAAGAGGCAATATAATGAACAAATAATCATTGACAGGAGCAATGCTTGTATTTTAACTTTCTTAGAATGTTCAGGCTACATGGTCATCATACACAGTCTAGTTCCACCTCACTTTAACAGGAAGACTGAAGACAAGCAACACTGAGTTTGAATTAGTGAAAAACTAGAACTAGAATTCAGTCAACTTGAATCTAGTACATTTTTACTTAAACATAGCAGCTGTAGTTACATAAAAACAAGCAAACAAAAAACTCATTTCCTCTAACTCCAAATACTAAAATATCAAATAAGGAATTCACCAACATAATGAAATGATCCATACAATCAGCATCTTAAATAAGACACCAAAGAAAATTGACTTCCCTTTATCTTTCAATCTATCTTAGGGAAAACAAGATGATAAGAACATTACAAGTTGACTTTCTTGGCTTCCCCTTTTTATCAGAGTGTAATTCAAATTCCTGTATAGAATACAGGTTTGGCATATGGTACAATTTTTCTTTTTAAAAATGAACACTTACTATTCCTTAATGTAAAATTCTTTTATATGTTACATTTTAAGGGTATTTTGATGAGTTTTTATATATATCTATCTAACTTTAACTATAAAATAAAATAAGTATAACCTCTAAAAGACTTACCAACTGCAGGTTTGAAAGGAAATACAAAGAAAAATAGTAAACAGGAACATTAAAGAATCTTTAAACACTTGACAAGATTAATATACTAACATTTGTGAGGCAGATAACGAAAGAATTCATTTTCTGAAAGGAAGAAAGAGGCTTGCCACTTTTACTCACTTAACCATATTCTCATTTCACTCCACTCTATTGGAAACTGGATTGCATGTACAACGGAAGGTATGAAGGCACCCACAGTCAGGTGGTCTTCTTTTCATGATCAAAGTACCCAACATAATACACTGTATCTTATTATATAGCATACACTATGTTACATAGCACACACTGTGTTACAGAAAATCACTCAAGGAAGAAAACAAATGCACAGCATAAGAACTATTCCCTCAGGATAAATGCAATCAGGGAAGTCATGTAATAGATCAGTGCAAGATCTCATTCCTAAAATCCTACGTCCTCCTGAGCAAATTTATGAATTATTGTAAGTCTTAAGTAATAAAGTGTTTTTCAGTTCTACATTTAAGTTCAACCCAAACATGGTACTCTGTAATACTTTTTGGCTTCAGTTCTAACGTTTTGCCTAACAGACCGTGGAAGCTTATGAAAGTCAGTTTTCTGTTCTTGAGTTTCATCTTGAGTTTCAACAGTGCCAACAGGTAGCACTGTTAAAGCCATCCATTAACAGATCAGAGATAATTCACACTGTCATTTTTCTTTTTACTAGATCAATGAAGCCAGTACATCCATGTTGTCAGAGAGGAGAATCTGGAATTGTCTGAGGACAGGAGAACACAAAGAAAAATTTCAAAAGAACATGAGCTCAAAAACCTACTGCTTAATAGCTGTGTGACCACAGGCAAATTCTCTTTGCCTCAGTTTCTTCATCCTAAAAATGAAGCATTCATATTTGCTTTGGAGGGCTATTGTGAAGACACAGAGATATAATAAACTTAAGGCACTGAGATACATCACAGACACTTAATAGATGATAGCTATTTTATTACTTATCTTCGGGTTTTCCTTCACAGTATTTTTTTTGGAAACGATTAAAAAATAATTATGTAAGTGTTTGTAAAACCCAAGAGTCAATATACCTACTGCTTCTAGCTTTAACTCTAGGCTCTGCATAGTTAGGATGTTTACTCATCTGTAGTTCAAAACTCACACAGCTCAAGACTGACACAGTTCACAATTCAAGTCACACAGGCACTTCACAGCCTCATTCCTTGTCCAGTCTCCAAACTCACACCTTCCTTGACTGTGTTTCTAACATTTAAGCTAGGAAACAGCAGGCATACATAATGAAGATATTGCATTTCATTTAGGCCAGAGGAAAGCAGACACATATGATCTGAGAATAATTTATTCCTAGGCTATAGGAATCTACCATGAGCTTATTCAATGGAGGGCTTGAGGAAAAGCATACCCGCAAAAATTAATGCGTTACCTTAACTTTAATAAGCTTCTTAGGGTTTCTTCTCCTACACCGGTTAACTTCAATGGTGCGTCTGCTTTTGGGAGCTGCCATCCAAAAGATACTATCTAAAAGGCCAGAATTCTCTTTACTTCCACTGGTGTCATTTGCTGGCTCTGTAAATATGTCTGGGCCCTGTACTGCTAATGCTGGTCCTAGGAAATAAAATGTAAGAGATATAGAATTGGTTTCTAGCTTCTAAATTTCCATTTACGGATATCATTTTCCTTAACAATCAATGGTCAAACATACACACACACACACACACACACAAAGATGACATATGAAATTTAGAATGTGAAACTCAATAATGGGAAACCTTAGCTATTAAAAATACACTAAAGCTTATACAATACAATTTTAAAGAACACAGAATTTTTTCTTAGTGGATCCTGCTGAAATGAGATCAGTGAAATTCCATCAAGTTTCTTACCTCTAAAATACAGGGTTCTGATAGGCACCTAACTTGAACAAAACAAGCAAAGAATCACTCAACTCTCCACAATCTATTAATACTTGGTAGGCAGTAAATTCCTGATTAATTTACAAGTAAATCTAGATAGATTTCCTGAATATACTTCTGACCAGCACTGAGGTAACTGTTGATTGGCCCTTATATTTAAACTGAGTCAGGCCCTTTATCATACAATCCCTTAAGTGACTTAGTTCCTCATAATATTTAATCTTGATTCCTGTCTGCTCTCTAAAATAAGAGCCAGTTCTTCATTTCTCTGTATGGCCTTATTTATGGGACTATCAAAGTTTCTTTTTCTGAATTGCTTATAAAATCAAGAGATTCCTTTACCCTTTTTTTGCTATTCCTTAAGCGTGCCATACTTCTTTTGATCTTAAGAACTCTTAAAACTACACAAAGCTCTCTAACACTTAACAATTGGCATTTCTTTTCAATGTCCAAAAGTATTGCCAAGCATAGCCTGCCTGGTGGTTAACAACACAGGCTCAGGGCTGTCTGTGAACTTGGGACCATTGTGAGCCTACTGCTTCAGCTGGAAAGTGTAGACACCTAAATAGGTCCCTGAACTCCTTTACAGCATTTCCTAGAAAGGGCTTATAATTGTAAATACGTATCCTTTGCAGCTAACTCGAAAGCGTTTCTCTCAAGGCCCTGAGAGCCATTCCTTTGAAATCTAATCATTAGGAAGGATAGGGCCTCTGTCTCCTAGTCTCTGCGGGAGGACAGAATCCTACCTTCGATAACTGCGAGCTAGCAGACACAGGCTAATCACATTTGCACTGACTTCACTGTACTACTTTAACCCTACTGAGCCCCCACACTCCCGCCTCGCACATTCTCCCTGCCCAAGTCACCTCTGCACAAACCGGGATGGAGCTCAGCTTTTTACCTGCAGTAGTTACTGAATAAAATCTGTTTTCAGCGCTTTAATTACTGGCTGGTTATGATTTATCTTTGACACAAACTTGGATTACATTCTGTGTGCGAATAGATCAAGCAGAGGATTTTTTCTTTTTTTGGCGGTGGAGGGAGGGCAAAAACAGCCGTTGTGTTCTCGCTAATATGTGAATGTCAGGAACAACGTCCCCGACACACGGCCGCGGATCAGAACCCGGGCTGAGGGCGAAGAGTGTGAGTTGCGTCTGATACTGGCTGCCCGGGGTCGCGTCATTAGGCCCTTCTCCCACGGAGCCCTTCTTTACTTACCCCAAGGAGGACTAGGAAAGCCCGGCCAGCCCTGCGGAAGCTTCCGCAGTAGTCGCTCCCAGTGGTTTCGAAGCAGTCCCCGGGCCGCAGGCCACGGCGGAACCACCACCAACAGCATGGCCAGCGCCATCTTCCCCGCCGGAAGACCGCCCCTCTCTCCCGCGGGCCCCGGGATTCCCGTTCCGCCCCTACTTTCAGCCTGCGCACAGGCACAGAATCGGGCAAGCCTCCGCTCCTAGAACTACAACACCCAGCATGCTCTTGGAGCAGCTCTGACTCTCCTCCAATCACAGAGAGAAAAGGAAAGGCGAGGGGCGGGGAAATGAAAGAAAATCGGCCACAGTGCGCATGTGTGCGGGTGTGCTTTGGCTCTTCGGGTAAAGATGGCGGAGCGCGGGTACAGCTTTTCGCTGACTACATTCAGGTATGGAAGGGGCCCTCGAGGTCCTTAGCGTAGCCGAGGTTGCAGGAGCTCCGTCGACTTAGTTTTTCCTACCCTGACGTCGGGATTGGTGCTTCTGGAGGGTCCAGTAGGGAATGGAGGTGGAAAAGCCGCTTTGCAAAGTCACTTGCCAGGCTGGCCCAGGATTCCGGGAGCTTCCATGGTCGGAGGCTGCTGGAGGGTCTGGGGGATGCGGTTCTGCGGGGTTAATTTGGGGCTGCGGGACGGTGAGGCACATTTCCAAGGATTTGCTTTCACTTTGGAGACTAGAAAAGAAGGCAGTTTTAGATTAATCATCTCTGGGTGGCCCGTTCGGTACCCAGGATTTTTTTCCTGTCCCAAGTAGACCTGATGCGGTGGTTTCTGAAACTCGGAATCTTGGTCAAATATGCGGGGTCCCCTTTTCTTGGAAAACTGTCAGCTTTACAGTTAAGTCGGAGTCTTGGCCTCCATTTGGCACTAGTGTCTTTTAAAACCTCCCGCTTTTGGTTTCTGCGATGTACCCAATTAGAAACATAAGGACTAAAAACCGAAAACGCTTGTCTGTCACTTTTTTGTGAACTCCTAACAATGAGGCAACAGTTTACGTTTGGGTCTTTTTTTGAGGGGGGGAATGTGGGGCGGGATGTTTACGTTGAACAAGATCGTAGACTTTTCTGTTGTAGAACAGGGGATTAGAATAAGTTTACTTTCCAAAATATAGTTGAAGCGAACCATGGCTCCCAGTGTGAGAAAACCATCACCGAAGACTTTTAAAAGTTGACTGGGGAAATTTCCTGATTTAACCATTTTTCTGAGGACCAGTAATGCCCAGTTTACTTCAAATGTACGCCTGACAACTGAAGGCAGGAGGGATCTAACTTGTTGAGTACTTTCTGTGTAGGTGCAACTTAACCTTAACCTATTCCATCTCTTTCCACTGCTATAATGAATATTATCTCAGCTTCTTACAGATAAACCAACCAGCTTTCACAAAGTAAATAACTTGTCCATGGTCATCGATGAGTAGCTGAGTTGACATTCAAACTGGGTTTTTTTTTTCTGATAACGAAACTAATTCACTTTCCATTTCATGTCTTAAATTCCAAAAGTGCTTTTTTGTTAGCAGTTTTCGGTAAGGAGTGAGTGCATGTAATACGTTTTTTTGTAACCTTTGAACAAGATTAATTATGCAATAAAAGGTCTCATATGACAATAGTGTGTGCAGGGTGTAGTCACTTCATATTTGTGAAGGAAACAAACGTGCTCCCTTTTTTAGAGACAGACTTGGCAGCCTCCGGCTCTTGGGCTCAAGGGATCATCCTGCCTCAGTATTTTTTTTTTCTTTTCTTTTTTTCTTTTTTTTAGACACGGGGTCTTGCTGTGTTGCATAGCCTGCAAACGTGGTCTTTTATCTCGAAGAAAGTGTAATTCTAGTGGAGCGGAAACATAAAACAACCATATACTTTCAGGGACTGAGTCTTTTTTTTTTTTTTTATAAGAGATTTCTTTATTAAAATATACTTTTGGCCAGACCGGATGACTCGCATCCGTAATCCCAGCTACTTGGGAGGCTGAGGCAGGAGGATTACGTTAGCCCAGGAGTTCAAGACTAGCCTGGGTAACACAGGAAAACCCTATCTCTGAAAAAATTTAAAAATTAGCCAGGCGTATGCCTGTAATCCAAGCTATTTGGGAGACTGAGGGCAAGAGGAGCGAGCCCAAGAATTTAGGATGCAATGAGCTGTGATTCTGCCACTGCACTACAGCCTGGGTCACAAAGCAGTACCCCATATCGAAAAAAATTTTTTTTGAAAACGAAACTTACGTTTTTAACAAAGTGGATTCAACTGTTTTAGATAAAAAGAAAATATTTGTTTCTAGCCTGTTGTAATCAGAATTGAACTAAAGGTGGAAGGGACTAGAGACCATACAGGATGAAACAGTTCTTGTGGACTGCGTTTGGTTGGGGCATTGACAATAAATGAGTAAACAAATTGGTGCCTGCTAATAAATTCTCTTACTAAGGAATTTTATTTTTAAAAGGGTGGAGGAAAGAATATGACTTTAGGTTGAGGAGTCAGGAAAGCTTGTTCTTGGGGGTGATTTTTGAGACTGGAAGGTTAAATATAGCCAGCTATTTGGAAGATTTAGGAATAAGGAGAGCTGTAGACAGAGGGAAAGCATGTATAAAAGCCCTGAAATGGGAAAGGAGCTTGAGCTCTTAAAGGAACTGAAATGAAGCAAATGTGCTATAGTGAGCAAGGAGGTAATGTGGGAGATGCCTAAATGTGTGAGGCTTTGTAGGCCAGAGAAGGAGATTTTATTTTAAGTGAACAAAGAAGTTATTACAGACTCTTTAAGTGGAGGTGACATGGTACAAAGCTGACTTTGGCTGAGGGTGGAAGTAAGGTTGAGAAGGAGGAAAACCACTTAGAAGGCTATTTCAGTTACTCCATGTAGGGATGCTGATGCTATGGAATGGGATAGTGGCATTATGTAACATAAAACTTAGAGCTGTCACCCATAGGTCTGTTTCTCTAATTGGTCTAGATGTGTCTCTATCAGCCAAATGATTGTGGATTTTTTTTTTTTTTTTCAGTTTGCTCATCATGAGCATGATTGTGGATTGTTGATACTAGGTTATGTGCTGGAATCCTGACTGAACAGAGCTAACTGTATTGAGGAAGACAAATATTGTAAAAATAATAAAGAGGCTGAAGCAGGAGGACTGTTTGAGGCCAGGAATTTGAGGCCAGCCTGGGCAACATAACGAGACCCTGTTTCTAAAAAAAAAATAATAATAATAATTCACATATGATGAATCTTAGGCAAAGAGGAAGTACAGGACATCACAGGCTTCAGTGAATAGGTATTCAGCTTACTGTGAGGGGTCAGGGCAGTTTCCCTGAGGACATGATTGAAGGATTGTCAGAGGAGTTCACAGTGCAATAGAGAAATGCATTTCAGACAGAGGGATTAGCTTGTCAATGAGGTTTTTGAAGTCTGAGAGTAGTCTATGTGTTTGGAGCAAGGAGAGATGGAATTGAGTTTTGAGTGACAAAGGGAATATCTGTAATTATATAAAGAGAAAACGTGGCCTTCTGAAATTTGTCTTTTCAATAATAGACAGGAGATAAGGATCTAGCTGTGTCACTTTGAACAAATTAGTTTCACTCAGACTTTTTGTTTATTTATGAAATTAGGTTGGTTTATGATGATTCTAATTAAACAACTAGGTAACTAGGTTGAAATAAAATATAACTCTAAAAGGCCAGTTTGAGACTAGTGTTTAGCTACCAAACCCATGGAACCAGATCTGTTAAGTATGATGATCTTGTGGCTTCTAGAAATAGTTGTATATTATATAGAAAATACTTCATTGTGAGTGATATCTAGGTCTTATGTCTTAGGCCATGTCTGCTTTTTTAAACCACCCCCCTCCCACATAAAATATATGCTGCTGTTTGGTTTTTAACAGACACATACATGTTCTTAATAACATTACTATTCAGTATGTGCTTGTTACTGATTTTGTGCCAGACAGCTTTACGGGAATGATTTCACTTCATCACAACAATGCTTTGAAATAGGTACATTCGTCTCTGCTTATCCTCAGGGAATTGATTCCAGGAGTCCTGTAGGGGGTGGTGATTTCAGGACCCCCACAAATACCAAGTCAAGGTGTACTCAAGTCCTGTAGTCAGCGCTGTGGAATCCACTGATAGGGAAAGCCAATGTATTTACCGTGTCCCCGTTTTATAGGCGAGAAAACTGATACAGACAACTTAAGTGGTGAAAAGAGGCGTCAGTAATGCCACCGCTCCATGTGGCAGACAAAAAACAACCAAAGAGAAAGTAGTGCTTCAGTAGCAGTGTGTTCCATTTGCCTTGTAAACTTGGTTTCTTTTTTTGGGATGAAGTTTCGCTCTTGTTGCCCAGGCTGGAATGCAATGGCATGGATCCTGGCTCACTGCAACCTCCACCTCCCAGGTTCAAGCAATTCTCCTTCCTCAGCCTCCCAAGTAGCTGGGATTACAGGCATGCACCACCACACCTGGCTAATTTTTGTATTTTTAGTAGAGATAGGGCTTCACCATGTTAGGTTGGTCTTGAACTCCTGACCTCTGGTGATTCACCTGCCTTGGCCTTCCAAAGTGCTGGGATTACAGGTGTGAGTCACTGTGCCCAGCCGTAAACTTGGTTTCTGTGCCACTTCATGATAGACGTCAAAGGGCAGCTGTTCCCTGGGGTTGGATTAATAGGATTTGACCTGTATACCTGTCCCGTCTCAGAGATGTTCCTGCAATAAATATTCGATGATATGTAAACTTAACAGATACCTGTGTTTCTTTTAAGCCCATCTGGTAAACTTGTCCAGATTGAATATGCTTTGGCTGCTGTAGCTGGAGGAGCCCCGTCAGTGGGAATTAAAGGTAATTAAATCCTTCATTCATTTCAGATGCCTGTTAGTAGCTAATTATTTTGGAATTAATTAGTAATTAATTTATACAGAGCTGTGACACTGTAATTTTTAACAATTTTTTGTTAATTTACAGTGTTTTGTAATTTAAATAGTAATAAGCCTAAGGTCATTCAAATTTTTTTTCAAAGTAAATAATAACATCTTTATCTGTTGTGATATCCACAGTAGTCTTTCCCACTCAGAAAACGGAGTCTTTTTTTTGTTTTCCCACTGATTATATCACTAGTGGCTGGCAGTTTTTAGCCTTATAATTTAGGAAAGATGTTTTAAGTGTTTCACCTTAAAAGTCTGTATCATTTATTGTAAATTTCATGTTATAAGAATAGTGGGAAAAGTAGGCAGAAATCCATTGTTTTAAAATGTATAGACTCTCAGGGGTATCCTTAGAGTGCTTTGTGAAAGGTTATGTGATGCCTTTAGCTGTAGGGTTTTTTTGTGTGTATAGTAGTAAATGACCAGTGAGGGAAAAACTGACTTATCCTTAGCTAATTTGGTAATAGGAATCTGGAAGAAAAGGTTTTATAAATAAGAGAAAATAAAGAAGTTTGAGTTTAGTGCATCCATAATTAGAAAGCTATTAAAACAGTCGTATAAATGATTAAACATTTACGTCTCTCTCTCTTTTTTTAAGCTGCAAATGGTGTGGTATTAGCAACTGAGAAAAAACAGAAATCCATTCTGTATGATGAGCGAAGTGTACACAAAGTAGAACCAATTACCAAGCATATAGGTTTGGTGTACAGCGGCATGGGCCCAGATTACAGGTACTTTATACTTTTTATAGTGTTTCTCGCCATCTCATGAATTGATTGTAATCTGTATTTTCAGGAGAAAAATCAATGTTGTTTTCCTTTAATCTTCCAATTCTAATTTTTTTGTGTGCTTTGTTTAGGAATAGCAGCCTCATTGAGAGCTGAATTTAGTTTGCCTGTGTGGGTTACCTTAAAGAGAATAACTCATGTGAAAGCGGAGGTAGATAGAGTACATAACTCCTCTTTTCTCTGTTTAGTGGACTTTTCCTTCTGACATATTCCTCTTTTACTACCCAGGAATTGGGCATAAGGGTTTTACTTTTCTTCAGTGCAGTTTAAAAATGACAAAAAGCAATACATTTTATAGTAAACTATATTTTTGAAAGTATGAGGCAACAAGAGAAAGCATCACCATCAGTAGAACCTTATCTTTTTTCCCTGTTCTTCACAAAGGGACAGAATTCTCAAACACCACTGCAAGTGGTTGAGGATGGCAGCCAACCTGGATCCAGATGCTCATATAATCACCCCCTTTATATTTCACAGGAAGAGAGAATAATCTTGTTACCCAGGATACCAGCAAGTTGAAAGAGATTGATAGCTTTCTGTGTCTGTCATTTAAATAAAAGGAGTATTACTTTATTGCTAATGATTTTGTGGAGCAAGATAGTTAGAGCCAGAATTTCACTTTAATGAATCATAAAATGCAACAAGATCACTGGAATGTGATCAGACAGTGAATCTTGTCACCACTATATAGGATGGATACTACAGTGTGCTGCCACTGATACGATAAACTGAGGGGTGGGACATGACTGTCTCACAGAGGGATAATGTGCATATTTCAGATCAGTAGCATACAGGCAGGTAAAGATAAATCCTATTTGTTTTGCTAATATATTTGATTGTTGTGTAATATTTTCTTAATCTCTTTTGACAAATTTTACTTTTGAAAAAAATTTTAAGAGACAGGGTCTTCCTGTGTTGCCCAGGCTGGTCTCAAACTTCTGGCCTCAAGTGATCTTCGTGCCTTAGCCTTGTAAAGTGTTGGGAATACAGGCATGAGCCACTGCACCCAGCTGAATTTTACATTTTTAGTTACAAGTAGTTTCTTGTTTCTCAATCTCTGAAGGGTACTCTTTGAAGTGCAGGCAGAGAGATTAAAACAGTCTGCAGAAAGTAGTGACCTGAAACGAGAAAAATATGCCCAGAATTGTGTGCCTGTATGTTCTTGTGTGTGTGTGGGGGGGGGGGGGAGGGGGTGAGATATAAAAAGACAAGTGGTTGCCCTTGGATAAGCGTGACAGTCTTGAAGAAGTCATGAAGCAAGATAAAGTTCTCATTTTGTACATTAAATCTGTTACTTTTAAGCTGACTGGTACTCTGATGTTCTGTATTTTCTGTATCAGCTGGAATCCAGTGTTAGAGTAAGACTAGCTTTGAGCCCTTAGCCACCATTAAAGAAATACATGTTAAACTTGTGCTGCAGGTACATGCCTGTAAAAGGAGAATGAGTCTTTAGGTAGTAGAGCATCTTCCCTGTAATTAAATCTTATTTTTTCCTTGTTAGAGTGCTTGTGCACAGAGCTCGAAAACTAGCTCAGCAGTACTATCTTGTGTACCAAGAACCCATTCCCACAGCTCAGCTGGTACAGAGAGTAGCTTCTGTGATGCAAGAATATACTCAGTCAGGGTAAGTTGCTTTTTTTTACTTGAAATGTGCCATGAATTATTGGGGGAAGTCATTTTATTTTATTATTTCTTTTCCTTTTATTTATTTATTTATTTTTCTTTACCAGGCAGCACTGAAGAAATAAAATATTTACTTAAGGAAAAAATGTATTTTCTTGTTGCTCGTATAATAGCAGAAAGCAACTTCTAGATATTAAAAGTTGTTTTGCCAGTGATTAAAACACTTTATGGGCAGACAATCTTGCTACTTTTAATTTTTTTTTTCTTTGAGTCAGAGTCTCACTCTCACTCACACTGGAGTGCAATGGCGTGATCCCGGCTCACTGCAACCTCTGCCTCCTGGGCTCATGTGATTCTCATGCCTCAGCCTCCCAAGTAGCTGGCACCGCAAGCATGCATCACCATGCCCAGCTAGTTTTGTTTTGTATTTTTTTGGTAGAGAGGTGGTTTCACCATGTTGGCCAGGCTGGTTTCAAACTCCTGACCTGAAGTGCTCTGCCTGTCTTGGCCTTCCAAAGTGTTAAGACTGCACCTGGCTGCTACTTTCAAATTTATCTTTCTAACCAGAAATGATTGTAAGCATATGATGAAAGCAGCTTTTTGACATATTCATATTCCTTTCAATTCCAGTTTCTTAAGTTTGGGTGTGGATGAGATAGCATACAGGTAGTTGTTGATATGTAAACCTAGTAGAAAAGCTACATTAATTGAAAGTTATCATTTTGTTAGGACAATAACCCCAGTGTCTTAGGTGATACTCTGTTCAATCCAAAATTTTTTTTATTTCGCTACTGTTCCCTCACTACTGTGAAGAGAATTAGTTTTTGAATTGATTCATTCAGAAAGGTGTTAAATACTTTTTCAGATACTTACAAGTCTAATTCAGTTTGCCTGATAATGTACTGTATTTGAGAGTACTGATAAGTTCTTGAGGAGGACTTTAACACCATGAAAATGCCAAGTAATTTTCATTTTCCTGTCTGCAGTGGTGTTCGTCCATTTGGAGTTTCTTTACTTATTTGTGGTTGGAATGAAGGACGACCATATTTGTTTCAGTCAGATCCATCTGTAAGTATCATTAGGTATATTTGAGGAATTTGTTAAAAGTGCTCCTTGAATATCTAACAGAAATAGAAACCATAAAAACTTTACAATTTAGCAGTATTTTCTTGTTTTTCACTTGGGCTTTAGAAAGTATGAAGTCGTGCATTTTTGTGTATATATTTAAAATTTTGGTAGTTTGGTCTTCTGACAAGGAAGCTGTGTGAGTTCTACCCTCTTTTCTTCTGCCATGTTCATTAACTTCATACATTTGGGTGATTTGTTGAAATAGTTGTTATCAAATGTGTTTAAATCTGTTACTTTGGGAAATACTGCAATTGAAGATACGGATCTGGAGAACAGTGTTGTACTATTTGCCATCAGTTGAATCTTGGGGCTGACTTGAGTGACTCCTCCAGCAAAAACATTGATCTATTTTGAATCCAGTGTTTTGCAAAAATGATTGTGTAATTGGTACCTTGGGTGAGTTGTCTGCTGTAATGCAGAAGATTGGTATCTGAGTAGAAGGTGTTTGTAAAGGATAGTACTACTCCACATCTGTCCTATTTGCTATGAGAACCTTAAGACAAAATTCAAGATTAAGAAATGATCTTTCATGTTTTATGACTTATTAGATAATTATAGTTCACTCAATGCAAACCTTATGATCTACTCTTATAACCTGAGATGGCAAAAGAGAAATATTTTGGTTGTTACTTAAATTAGAAAAATAAGTATTTTGGAAACTTCAATAGTGTTGTTACTCCATCTCTGAGCTTCCAAAGCTAAATGACAAGCCCTCTTACCTTCCTTTCCAGAAGGTAGCAGAAGCCACCATTTCTGGAATCCCGATTTCATCTTTTGTCTTATTTTCCCCTGTTGTATCTAAAAAAACAATTTATCATTTAAAACATATTGGATTATGTTTCTTTTGGTATTTTTTCTAAGTGCATATGTATATTTTTCAACAGACGAGGCCATGACACGTGATATATTGCCACTTATATTTCACCCTCATATTACAAAATATCAGCTTTGAATATTTTTAGACACTCTTTTTAAATTATTCACTAATGATCAAGAGTTGATTGCCATTTTTCAGATTTATATGATAGATTTTTAAATCCCTTCAGTCTATTAAGCTAAAATATTACTCTCATTTGCTTTAACTTCAGTTTCTTTGAACTGGCTTTTTTACATAGTTTTTGTACACTGAATTGCATCATCACCAACTCATCAGTTTGATGAGTTTTGATATATGTAAATGCCTGAAGAAACCATCAGTACAATCAGGATGTCAGAAATTTCCAGAACCAGCTGGGCACAGTGGCTCATGCCTGTAATCCCAGCACTTTGGGAGGCTGAGGTGGGTGGATTGCCTGAGATCAGGAGTTTGAGGCCAGCCGAGCTAACATAGTGAAACCCCATCTCTACTGAAAATACAAAAAATTAGCTGGGCGTGGTGGCAGGTGCCTGTAATGCCAGCTACTAGGAAGGCTGAGGCAGGAGAATAGCTTGAACCTGGGAGGCAGAGGTTGCAGTGAGCCGGGATTGCGCCATTGCACTCCAGCCTGGGGAATAAGAGCAAAGCTCCGTCGGGGGGTGGGGGAAGAAAGTAAAAAAAAAAAAAAGAAATTTTAGAACTTCCAAAAGTTTCTTCATGCCTCTTTGGTTTCCATCCTTCTAGCCTTCTTAAAAAATAACCTATTCTGTGGTGTTTTTCATTCTAACAATATTCTGTGACCTTCAAAGTTAGAACAATTAATAAAGCTAAAAGTTAAATGGCAGGGCAATATAATTACATTAGTGTTTTAAAATATGGCCCTTTACTCTTTCCTTCCTGATTAGGGAGCATACTTTGCCTGGAAAGCTACAGCAATGGGAAAGAACTATGTAAATGGGAAGACTTTCCTTGAGAAAAGGTAGGCTTACTCACTCTAACTACATTCATTAGAAAACTCACTTGATGGTTTTTGGTGATCTTTAATTAATTTCATAGGACAAAAGACATTTGCTGTATTACTCTGTATATGAATCTAGTTGCAGATAAACAAAAAACTTCGATCCCTCCTAGTTTCCTAGCCTTCAGTATATTAAGTGGTAATTAATATTCATTTCCGAAGGAGTTCTCTTTCTACATTCTATAGTTTCCTAAATTTTTTTTTTTTTTTTTTTTTACTTTTTATTTCACTTTTCCTGCCATTTCAGGAGGGAAAAAAAAGAACATTGAATCTGGAATAAAAAATTTGGGGAGAAAAATTTTTTAATGATTTAATGATAACAGTTTACATTATGACAGTAAAAAAGAATTGTGAAAGCAAATGCCTGGAGTTGAAGGTATATTAAATATTTGATGTATGTGCTTGATAAAAAGTGAAACACTATGTAGTAATCTGCTGTCAGTGCCCAAGTACAAACTGCTCTCACTTATTTCCAGCTATATTCTAGTCTTAGTGTTGTAATGGTCCTTCAAACCTCTCCAAGCTTTTGAAGAGAAAACTGTTTTATTTCTTGATATGTAATAGTTGCGCATATCTTTGCAGTACATGTGATATTTTGATACCTGTATACAGTGTCTTTTCTTTGTGTTGGGAACATTGCAAATCTTCTAGCTATTCTGAAATACACAGTAAATTGTTAACGATCATTTCTTGACTGCACTATTGGACACCAGAACTTATTCCTTTTATCTGATTGTATTTTTATAACCCTTAACCAACTTCCATCATTTCTTCTTCCTCCTGCCTTCCCAGCCTCCAGTAACCTCTGTGCTACTCTCTGCCTCCATGAGATCCACCCTAGCCCCCACATATGAGTGAGAACATGCCATATTCATCTTTCTGTGTCTGGCTTATTTTACTTAACATAATGACCTCCAGCTCCATCCTGTTGCTGCAGATGACAGGATTTTTTTATGGCTGAATAATAATAAAAAATTTTGTAACTCCGTTTAACAGATGAACCTTCACAGTACATTTTTCATATAATGCTAAGGTTATTAAAAATCTTAGGCCTGGTTTTAAATGGTAAATCTTAGGCTCTTAAAGCACTTTCTCTTTTACATATTAACGAGTCTTCTAAAGGTTACACATTGTTATTACATTTTATGTTTTGTTTTGTTTTTGTTTTAGAGGCATTGTATTTAGACAACTAAAAACAATTAGATGTTCAAAAGCAGTGTACAATGAAAATTAAACCAGTTACTTTATCATATATTCCTTCTTTACAACAAAAGCAAAAAACAGCAATAACAACAAAGACATTCTGCTTTAAGGGAAAAATCAGACGAATACGCAAATATATTTTTCTTCTCCGCAATGATATAAATAGCTGCAAGAACTCTAATTGCGGTAAGAGAAGCCAGATGTTGTCTTGCACATATGCATTAAAAAGATAACAGGCCATTGTACTACAAGAGGATAGCTCAGCCTCCCTCATCTGATGCTCTTGAGATTTCACTTACAGGTAATACCAACTTAGTTATTCCAGCACTGGAGCTAATTCATATTCCGCATTATTTACTGCTGCTTTTGCCTTAAGCAGAGAGTAACTCTGGAAGGCTGATGCTTTCCTCTGCTTGTTCGTTCTAGTCCATAGGTTGTATACTATCTGTGGCACATGCTTGATGCTCAGGCCTTAACTTGAGGAGTTGAAGAGTAGATAGAATCTAAATTCTCCAAAGCAGTTTCTTCCAGCTCCTCTTCTTGTCTCTGTAAAACCAATCCTAGGCTTCGCCAGCTCACCACTATCTTCTTCAGGAAGCGCACATTTCCAAAGGCCATATGTTTCTCCTACCACGGTTTGCCAGTCTCATCATTTGGAAACACTGGCATAGAGTTCTCCCATCAGGGCTAAATCTCACATAGTGAATAGGACAGGAGTGTCCTTTGTTGGATTCTAATTCTTCTCCACTGTTACCATCATACTTACAGGTTTAAAGTCTTCACCACCTGCAATAAGAAATGTTTTTCTCAGAATGAAGAGACAGAGAGTTAATGGTTTCAGGAGCTTGAAAGGATTTAATTGGTTCCAAATTTATTGCACTATCAAAAACAATGGGTCAGCCATAAGTTATTACCAAAATCTTTCTCAGGAATAGATTCTATACTACTGGAAGGCATATTAAAATTTAGAGATTTTACTTCTGTCATAATAGCGTGATCCCAAAATCAAACTGTTGTCATCAGAAGAAAGAATCCATTTATCCTTACTGTACCATAGGGCCTTTTGTATACCAGAGCTGTGGTCACTAATTTCCTCAGGTTCTGCTTCAGGTTTGTTCAAATCATATGTGTAACAGTTTACCCTGTCCCCCGGTTAACAAATAATTACTATGCTACATGAAATCCATAGTCTTGACAATGTGTTTATGAGCCAGGGTCATCAGTTCATCTCCTGGGACAGCATCCCACACTTTGGCTATGAAATCTGCAGCTGCAGTGGCTGCTTTTGTGGCATCCTTATTCAGTGTTGCACCCCAAACAGCATCTTTATGACCCAAAAATGTTCCAGTCCAGTCACCTGTATCTCCCTGGCATAGCATAGGTTTACTGTCTTTGCGAGCACCGATTAAGAAGTACTGGTAAGGCTGGCCAGGCGCAGTGGCTCATGCCTACAATCCCAGAACTTTCGGAGGCCAAGGCAGGTGGATCATGAGGTTAGAAGTTCAAGATCAGCCTAGCCAACGAGATGAAATCCCGTCTCTCCTAAAAATGCAGAAATTAGCTGGGCGTGGTGTTTCATGCATGTAATCCCAGATATTTGGGAGGCTGAAGGAGGAGAATCACTTGAACTCAGGAGGCAGAGGTTGCAGAGCCAAGATTGCGCCACTACACCCCAGCCTGAGAGACAGAGCAAGACTCTGTCTCAGGAAAAAAAAAAAAAGCCTGTAAGGCATGATGCCACTGAAGGCCAAGTCAGCCACAGGCCATGGGTGGCCAGAACAGGTGAGCAGCATCAGTCTCGTTGCCATGGCCACAGCAAACCCAGTGATTGGGCTGTTGGGCTGAGGCTCATTCTTCTTTCCTCTGTGACTTGGGCTCCTCCAGGCCTTATCCTGACTCTGCGACTCAGCCAGGAAACGAGGAAAGGTGGCTAGGGACAGGCCAGGGAATCTGCAAAGGGCAAGCAAAAGTTGACGAGGAATGACTGAAGAACTGGCCCAGCCACTATTCGCACTGTCCACACTGGTATCACCAGGAAGTGACACATTATGTGTTAGCTTATAAGAAAAAGATGAGATTTTAGCAAAGATTTGATTTTTCTGTGTTTTAAAAATTATACCGCTACCGCATCCTGATTATGTTAAAATATTTATACTTAAGAAGTTTCCTAAAATAAACTCATTTTAGGGCCATACTCTTCATGATGTTGAGAATTGAGCACCAACTATTGTCAGTTTTTTATCTGGGACAGCAATCTCAAGGAGGTGACTACAAGTAAATGTGTAATTTAGTATTTTTAAGATTTTTAGAGTTTTAAAAACTTAATGTTGTTGCTGTTGTTGTATTTAAAGAATCATACAGAATATAAACAATGCTATAACTTTTTAAATTCTTCAGATATAATGAAGATCTGGAACTTGAAGATGCCATTCATACAGCCATCTTAACCCTAAAGGTTAGCTCAATAGTTAACAACTGGATTTATAATGCTTTTATAATTAACCGCTTAGAAAATTGACCCTTTTTCCTCCCTCCTCAATAGGAAAGCTTTGAAGGGCAAATGACAGAGGATAACATAGAAGTTGGAATCTGCAATGAAGCTGGATTTAGGAGGCTTACTCCAACTGAAGTTAAGGATTACTTGGCTGCCATAGCATAACAGTGAAGTGACTGAAAAATCGAGAATTTCAGATAATCTGTCTACTTAAACATGTTTAAAGTATGTTTTGTTTTGCAGACTTTTTGCATACTTATTTCTACTTGGTTTAAATCGACTGTTTTTAAAATGACTTATAAATCCTAATAAACTGCTAAACTCACTTCCCAGCCTTTTAGGAGTTGCTAAAATTTTAACAGTTATTTCCTGCTTTTTTATCATAATTGATTTCTGAAGACCACATTGCAAAGCAGAATGATGAAATCACTTTTTTTAGTTGTCAGCCAGTTTGGGTTAAGTCAAATCTTACTGCCCTCTTCACTACCAGATGTTGCTTGTGTTTCCATAAAGCAAAATGCTGATTTTGGTAAAAACATCACTGTTTCTAGAGCTGGAAGGATCTGCCGACTTTCACGGATTCATGGGACAAGAAAAGCATAGGTGCTTTTAGGTACCTATGATTAGGTAATGATCAGTGAAATCCTAGGGTGCTCTATGAGATTGTATTGGGGCTATGAAGAGTGGTAAGCCAAGTAGGTCTCCATGGGAGATATATTATGTAAGTGAATAAACTGGTTTGCTGGTTCCTGTCAGTGTCTCCATCACAAGTAGCTAAATGTTTTCAAGGAACCCCTTAGATTTTGTTAGACTTTTTAACAAGGATGAGCATAAGTGTTTGAAATAAAACGTTAATACTCAAGTGTCAAAACTGTGGCTTAAGGCTCTTGTTAATTCATTAATGTAATCTCAGTATCATCAGTACCTTCACTATAATGAAAGTTATAATTATCTAAACTCTCATGTGAAGGCAGTGCTTAGTTTTTTGTTTTTTTAAGGTATCTTAGGATAAAAAATCATTAATCTGGTTTATAGAAAATGAGAGTTTATAAGCACAATCATTCTTACCAGCGTGAAAGTATAGTGGGCAATTCCGTGATTTAAATGTAGCTCAAAAGATTCTAAGATTTAGTTTAGGGGAAAAGAAGCTTACTTTGGAGATTTTTGTCAGGATCACCAGTTCTGTTACCTACTGTCACTGTAATACCCATATCTTGTTTTAGGTGACAAAAGCATTATAGGAAATGAAAGATGGTAACTCTGGCTTCCTGTTTCAAGAGGTTTATCTTGGCCTCATCTAATAATCTTTTGTAGGCACTTGATATATTTCGACTTTAGCACACTAGAAAGAACCTAGTAGCAAAAAGGAATGACCTCTGAAGTCAAGTCTCAACTCTCCTACTTACTGGCTGAGTGACGGTGGAGGCAATCTCAGGGTTGGTTTGGTTTTTTTGAGACAGCCTTGCCGTGTCACCCAGATGGGAGTGCAGTAGTGTGATCTTGGCTCACTTCAGCCTCATCCACCCCGGCTTAGGTGATCCATCCTTTTACCTCAGCCTCCCGAGTAGCTGGGACTACAGGTTTGTACCACTGCGTCTGGCTAATATTTGTATTTTTAGTAGACATGGGGTTTCACCATGTTGCCCAGACTGGTCTCCACCTCCTAGGCTCAAGCTATTTACATGCCTCGGCCTCTGAAAGTACTGGGATTACAGGCATGAACCTCTGTGTCCAACCTTATGTCAGGGTTTTCTAAGGACTGAATTTGATAACGCAAATTAAAGCCTGGCATGGTTAATAGTTAAGTACTTGTTTAGCTGCCATTAAATTTGTATAGTCTTTCTGTAATGTCCAGTATCAAAAGACCAAAGGAATGTCAAAATTCTACAAAGAAGGGAAAATTAAAGGCATGTAATATTTAAGATTTAAGGAAAACTCATGTAGGTTTTTATTGTGTGCCAGCAGAATTAGTCCTAAAGAATAAAGGGAGGAAGAATCAGCTGAATCAGATTTGATCCAGGCTCTGTTTTCTGCCTCTTGCCCTCAATAAATGCAATGCCCAGTTCCAGCTGAAGCTGCCTACAACACTTCTCCCTTTGTTCTGTTTATTTTTTCCATGGACCTTAAAATTAAGTTGTTCCTTTTTGTTCTCGTTCTTGGGAAAGAGTTCTTTGATGTAGCAACCCACTGCATCCCTAAACATTCCAAAACTCTTGAACGATTTCCAGCCTGTAGATTTTGGCTTAAGTGTCATAATGTTCCTAATGTTCATAGCCTCTCCCTTCTTTTGGTTCATTTTGTATCTTTTCATTTTTGTGGTTTACATTAAAACACATTTAACTCCATTAACTAACTTAAAACATTTAACTCCATTTGTTCTACTTCTTCCCAGTTCCTTACTGAACCATGAATTTAAATTTGCAAAGCAATTGTTAACAATGAAACATGGAGATGTTTAAAATTCACATACATGGGGACAGGAGGCAGTTGAAAGGGGGAATAAAGAAGACTAATACAGAGCTTTATAATTATTGAGTGCTGATACACTCAAGCATCCCTGTGGGGGAGGAAAAAAAGCAACCCAACCTTGAGGTAATTACCTTGCACAGCCTCTCAAGCATCAAGTAGGTGATAAGGGAACATTGAAGGGTTTTTATTGCTCAATTTTTTTTCATAGAATGAAACTGCCAACTCTTGGTACTCACCTCACCTTTTTATCAGGAGTCTCATCTCCCGTATGGGCAAGCTCTCTGAGCCCCCCCATTGCAAAGAAGACAAGTTGATGTTCAGTGAATTGCCCAAAAGCATAGGAGTTGAGAATTCCCTTGGATTAGAATCCTAATTTCCTGGAAACTAGTCCTGGTGGCTCTGTATGAAAGTCACATTGCCGCAGTTCCTTCAATTTAGAGCTCTTCCCTCCACCCTGTTCTGAAAGAACTTATGGACGTGGCAATATCTGTTGCCAATTAATTGGTAACTTACATGAGCATATTTAAAAAAGTAACGTGAGTTCTCCCTGAAAGCCATCACTTTTGACTTTTTTAGCTATTTCACCAGGTACTTGCCTCCATATTTCAAAATAGGATTGTATACCTTTTTCTTGGATTTCTGAAGTTGAGCTGCCAGACTTTCCATTGAGAATCATATCACACTGACTTCCCTCTCCTCACCTCAAATCATGTTGAGGGTTTTTCTTATGACGGTATACTACTATTGCATTCCTAAACAACATTCCTGGGGGATGATACTGCTTTTTTAAATTTTTGAGACTGTCTCGCTCTGTCGCCTAGGCTAGAGTGAGGTGTGAGGTGGCACAAATCAGTTCACTGTAGCCTTGAGCTCCTGGGCTCAAATGATCCTCCCAGCGCAGTCATTGCAGTAGGTGGGGATACAGATGTCAGCTACCATGCCCAGCTAATTCTATTTTTTTGTGGAGACAGATCTCACTACATTGCCCAGGCTGGTTTTGAACTTGTGCTCATGCAGTCCTTCCAACCTGGCCTCACAAAGTGTTGGGTAATCCCAACACTTGTAATCAAATGAGCCACGGCAGCACCCAGCCCACTTTTTTGGTTACTTTGTTTTCAGAGAAAACACCCTCTGCCTACTGTTTATCTCATAAATAAGGTATTGGGCAGTCTGTAACAGTTCTCTCCCCCACACCTCAGAGAAGTTTCTCTTAGAACCCTCTGACTTCCTGTTCCAGTCCAGGCTAGGTGCTTGTTTGAAACTATCTTTATTCTCCTTGCTTTCTCTCTGAATTGGCTGGGTTAAAAATTCTAGGTTAGAAATAAATTTATCTCCACGTTTTGAAAGCATTACTCCCTTCTAAATTCCAGTGTTGCTGATGGGAAGCCTAATACTATTGTGTACGTGATGCCAAATCCTTTGTAAGCTTTCCCCTCTGCAGCTCTTAGTTTTTCTCTTATCTGCTGTGTTTGGAAACTTTACAACCATGTTCCTTTGTGTGAGTTTCTTAATAGTCATTGTGGTGAGCACTCAGTAGGCCCTTGCACTGTGAAAAACAACCTTCCTGTTTGGTAAATTTTCTAGTATTAAGTTTTTGAAAATTTTTCTCCTCATTTTCTTTGTTTCTAAACTCCTGTTAATTGGATATTGAATCCTTTCGTTTTTGCTCATTTTTCATCTATTTCTACTTTCTAAATTTTTCCAACTCTTACATTGATGTTTTAAAATTTGGGATATAATTTTTACTATAGAATAACCATTTCCTGTGCTCTGCTGTCTCCCCTTAAAAAAAGAAATCCTCGTTTCGTAGCCGAAATAGCTTTTATTAGAAGTTGTTAGTTATAGAATACTTTTTGAGACCATTTTGTTCCGTTTTCCATTTCCTTCAAATTCCAAACAAAAATGTTGGAAAATGCTGTTTGTGAGGCTCACAGCAGCGGGATGCAGAATGTTGGTATCTCCAAGACATTTCTCTAGGGTCTCTCATCTACTCATTTCTTCAGAGAAAAATAGGGTTTGGGGGAGAGAGTGATAGGGAGTGGTAGAGGAGTGCTTTCATTATGGGAGAGGCAGAGAAGTGGATACTGGCATTGCACTATTCAGTAGGAAAACTTCATGATGGCACCTCTCATACTTTGTTAGGCTTTGTGTCTGGAATCCCTCTGATGCCCTATCTTCAGCTTCTTAAACTAGTCTTCTGCCTGAACAATTTACATTTTCAATCCTGCCTCCCCTTCTTTCTACCTCCAAGGCACCTGAAGCCTCCTGGGGTCCTGCTTTGTGAATCACTGACTAAATAGCCCCTTCTACAGGCAGTTTGCTCAGCTCTCCTGACACCTCCATCTGCAGAGAAGGTGTCGGGAGGTAACCTCTCTATGGCTCACTTATCCGTAAAATATTAATATCCACCTTTTAGGTTGTTTAGAGGATTGAAAAATGTGTAAAACACTTAGAACAATATCTGCCACGTTGTAAGGACTGAATAAGCTATTGCTCTTGTCCTCCAAAAATGTTGGTAGAACGTGTTGCAGTCATCTCTTGTTCTTTCTGTCTTTGTGGGTTTATTTCCTTTGTCATTGCTTTACTGTTATTTAAGATTTGGAGAAGGAGCAGGATACACAGGATTAATTACAACTGGAAGTCGTCTTTAATATTTTAAATTAGCTTTACTTTATTATAGCCCTAATCTTTCTGGGTGACTTTGGACACTCTACTAGGCTAACATGAATATCCCAGCTCCTAGGAAGCTATGCAATCATTTCTCCTCTTCAGAAAAACAGCACACGTTGTGTGGAGGGCCCAGGACAATGCAGTGGAAGTGCTTTGGTTCGGAGGCAGAAGTCCCAGCGGCAGTACTTCTCAG